TAATTTTCTTTTAAATATTTTTATGATCATATTTTAAAATATATTATTATTAATTTTAATGTAACAAAATTATTGAAATTTGATTTGTTATGATTTTATTTGATGATTAAAAAAAATTGATTGATGAAGCTGATTGTCTCAAAATTAAACTTTTAATCATTTAAAATTATTGTAATAATTTTTATTATTTACAACTATTATGATAAAAATGTGCGATGATTTAAATTGTTGGTAATGTGGATATATGAAAGTAATTTAACTCTTATATATATATATATTATTGATGCAACAACATGTCTTGGGATGACAACTTTTATGTGGTCAGCTTGCAGATATATACGGTCAACGGGAGTACATAGTCATGTACTCGAACTTTATGTTTACCAATGCATGCATGCTAGATTGGGAACTCTATGAATTTGTGCATAATTTTTCCATCCAATTAGATGGAATGCGTTAGGATCTAAGTTCATAAAATAGTAATAAATTCATCTCCAAAGAACAGAAAGTTAAATTTTGAAGAGAGAAAATAATATGTTTATTTTTGAATATTACCTATGGATAGAACAGGTGCGAATAGACGTGAATTTGATGATATTATGATGTTATTATGATTGTATTCATCACAATATCATCGTAATACCATAAATACTGACACATAATATTTTTGAAAGACACGAAACTATCACTGTAGATGCTGCATGATGTTGCATGGATCTTCGGTCCAGAGAGTTGGGGGAAGTCTGTTTTATCCACAATTTTTCCTGCCCAAATTTAGGAATGCTGTCTGCCTATTCTCAAACAAGTACATAAAAAAGCGATTTTTGACCTTCTCTTCATTTGGTCTTTCTGCAACACATCGTGCAACCACCGTTTTCATCGATGGGATAGAGAGTAATAAGATTTATAACACAGTTATAGAGAAAACTCATAACTGCACATCAATTATATGACATCATGGCTGATGAGGTGTTTGCTTACACTACGAAGTAGGTTAAAACTTCAAACAAAATGAGGAAGATGGACAGCAACCATCAAAATTGCTGCAAATTTAAGTGTTTAAAGGGATGTTTAACTAAGGAGGTTGGTTGATTATTGTTGTTTCAGATTCAAAAATCAGATTTGCAAGAAAGGATCAATTAATAAAATTTGACGGTCGATTAATCTATACACCAAAAGGTATTCAAATCAATATTTCCTATGTAAATTGGCGATATATCAACCAATACATAAAAAATTATGTATTCAGTCTATTTACTAAGCCTATATGTCGGTTAAGTGGGTTCTCTATGCGTTTTCAAAATGTCACCGCAACAAATAAGCTGTTCCAAACAGACATACTAAATAACACTAATTTATTTAATTTTATTTGGGATAGAAATTATAATTGAATCACTATTAGTTAATTGTATACCACATATATTTCATCACACCTTTGCAAATAAATTGAGAAACCCCCCCCCCCTCTCGTTAATTTTCATTCTCCTATTTTATTCCCTATATTTTTCTCTCATATCGTTCATCTTCCTCTAATTTGCAACCTTGTTATCCAAATCTTCTCTTCACATCTAAAGTCATCAATCAATAAACAACCTCCTACAACTCCTTCAATCAACCAAATCAAATATCAACCTCTCACATAGCTTGTTCTCAATGAGGCCTTGTCCTAACACATTTTGTCATCATTCCTTCTTGGCCCATTTCTATGGTGTTGTGAAGGCATTGAATCAATAGTGAGAGAGGCTACCCAAACAATAATAATAATAATAATAATAATTTGCCGAAATGAGAACAATTGTAAGATAGGAAAAAGGCTTGGAAGAACGTAGAAAACTCTAACTTGTTCAGATGGTAATTTTTTAGTAATTTGTTTTTTATGATATAAACTAAAAATTATCACCTCCATTTATGTTATTGGCACCCTATTTATGATTGTATCAATGTGTTCTCTCACAGCGCATATTACATAACTCATTGATTATTTATTCTAGATATTTCTAAGAACTCCTCTAAAATATATCAATAGTGTACATCAAATCCACGATTCAGAAGGAGAGAGTACAAAAAAGATTGGCTAATTGTCAGGAGAATGTGAGGCCTACTTAACAGACTAAGCAAAGTCATACAAACAAAGCCAACAAGACCAAAGCAGACCGGACCACGAGGCAGAAAAGAAGATTGTTGTGATCCAAGCATCATTCATTCAGCCAAACACGAGACAAAAGAGCATCTAATCTAACCACTATAAGAATTAGAACCCAATTCGATTGTTTGCCCTTTAGCAGAGCCGATCCAAGGGAAAGTCCATTTACACATTATCTCAAACCAGCCCATGGACACCCACAGGTTCCTCATTAGGGATTAAGGATTGATAGCTAAACTAGAACTAACACATGTCGACCAAGCTCAATCGATCGAGTTGATCACATCGACCCGAAGTCAATTAAGCTCAGTTGATTGAGCCATAAAGCAGCTGGATAATAAGCCCATGCATGTAAAATATCAGAATTACTCAAATACAGACCACTTCCAAACAAGAACCGGAATGTAATATCATCATTGTACCCTCTTTCCTATAGAGAAGAAAAATATTTTATGAATATACATGATTGATTGCTATTTATTTTTCTCTCTGACTCTCTCTCTCTCTCTCTCTCTCTCTCTCTCTACATATATATATATATATATATATATATATTATATATTTACTTATGCTTTATTTAGTGGTTGTGATTCACAGATAAATTTGGAATTAATATCCTAAAAAGTATGGTGAGAGTGGATCAGGCAACAAATAAGAAGACGAGTTACCCAAGAAGATGAACCTCATAACAGAGACACGAAAAATTAAATGTGAAGTGCACCAAAAAATTGTAGCTCAATAAATTCAAGCGTTGAAGGATTAGATGTTGGACGTCATCGAAGGCACGTTGACCCGAGAGAGAGAGAGATCAATGACTTTGGGGCGAACGGTCGGTGCCCCACGATAGAAGAGTCCCTTCAACTTTGGAGAGGGAAAGTGACTCTCAATATTTTGATAATGTTGGATAGGCAATATCGATCGACTCATATCTTTTCGGTCATATTGTAATGCCTTATTAGATCAAGAATGCATTCTCGCATCAAATCTTTGAGGTTGAGCCCCTATAACAATTCAAGATCCTAGGACCAGAGGCCTATAAGGGCAATCAGGTACATTAATAGCCGATAGCTAAATCAATATTTCAGGTCTAGGCCACCGAAAATTGCATAAAATTCTGTAGTGAATTCTTTCATTGGAACAACTACTACTATATGCCAGGAAACAAGCACCTTGCAACCAAATTTAACCTTTTTGGGACAATTTGGTCCTTCATTCTATTGATTCATGTGTTCACAAATTTAATTTGAAGTGGTAGATCTTTTCTAGGGATTTATTGTGTTTTTTTTTTTCTTTTTCTTTTTTTTTTTGTGATAATTAATTACTATAGCTAAATCAACAAAAAATAACCCTTGATTTGGCTCTTTTGCGACGCTTTTAATGTAATTTTTTTACCCCTAGATTTGTGATAGATCAGATAAGGACATTTATGACCCCAACAATGTGAAACTAAGAACTAGATTCTATGACAATAATTTTATATATGTGAGGTATACAATACGCTTACATTTCATAATGAAAATTACTAACAAAGGTATAACTTGGTCGAAACCATGCCTAAGTTTAAACCTTGACAAATCAAGAATAGCATGAGAGCTCTATTTTTCCTTTTTCAGGCAAGGAGATCTCTTGAACCCAACATATCGGAATTCCTTATTTAGTTTCTAATTGACTAATATGCTATATATTGGATCATAATAACATGAGAAACCTTTAAAAATTTGAGGAAATATATGTATGTATGTATGTATGCATGTATGTAGACACACACACACACACTACTTTCACCTTGAATAATATATTAATACAAGTGATGTATATATAAACATGACTTGCTCTACACTTACATTTAACTGTAAGTTTAGGAAATAAAAAATACAACTTCCAGCCTTCATTTCCAGAAACATGGGGTCAGCATGCTGAAAAACTAAGCAAGCTTTCGCATAGCTAAGTGGAACAAGAAGCATCCTTGCAGTTCTTCATGCCTCAGTCATGCCTCCTGAGATCAATATAATAAACATCTTAGGTTGAGGCCTTATTATAAAATTAGCAGGGCCCCATGTGATTCCAGTACAAGGAGCAAGTTTAGCTTTACAACTTAAAATCAAACGATAAATTCTTATCATTACCTAAACTTCAGAAGCATAATTAGTACTACTTAATCCTTGATTAATTCTGTAATTAGACATACCTGACTAGGATTTATATGTGCCGAGATATGCACATTGCAATACATTTCTCTATTGATTTTTCTAACAGCTTATGCATAGCTGCCTTTCAGTAATTGTTGAGAACTTTAGGGCAACGAAAACACAAGAGTCGACACAAATCCAAAAAAATACACAGAGATTCAGCGAATATGCCTGTATCTTCGAGAGAATAGCAGCGGCTTTTCCTTCAATTCTGAGGGTATAGCTCCGGCGTATAATATGTAATTACAAAATTACTCTTGTACCGTACCGCAGGAGGTTGCCCCAACCCACATAACGAAACTCCCTTGATCAGACAGATGCTTTCGCTCCACTCCGCTCGCTTGCTCCGTTCTACTCCAGCATTTGTCCCTTACTGGTATATGAATCATACTAATCAAAGCCAAGCTTGTAACGCGACTAACCAATAATTTATATATTTCGGCTGTAAGTTTGTCTATTTAAACTTCATCAGGTCAGCACCCACCAGCATACAGCCCCTCTTTCCTCCTTCTGCTCTGCTTCTTTTCTGTCATTCCATGTGCATTAATATCTAAATCTTCCTCATCTTCCCCACTTCTCAATCACTCATTCTAAGGAAGAAGAAAAAGGAAAAAACTATTTAAGTTCGCTAGTCTTGACCTGCAGGAAATATAAATATGATCTACACAATGGCCTTTTGTGGTCTGCTTGTGGTTTTGTTGATCCAGTGGCTACAGACATGGAGGAAGCCAAGGTGCAACGGAAAGCTCCCTCCTGGTTCCATGGGCTGGCCCATTCTAGGAGAAACCCTTCAGTTCTTCAAGCCTTATACGACATTCGATATCTCTCCATTTGTCAAAGAGAGGATGAAGAGGTGCTTGGTTATCCCATTTTATTAAAAGCTTATTGGGAATCATTTTATTTTATTGAAATATATTTGTTTTAAATTTATCATATATATATTTTTTTATTCTTATAATATAACTGTACTATATAAGTCATCTTCAATTGATTTGCTTCAATTATATTTGGCATAAAAATAGTGAAAATATTTTTGAGATGCAATCAAATACATTATGTTACTGATTTTTATTATTATTATTTTAAAGAGCAATATTTCTAATAATTTAAATACAAAATTTTATCTTTAAAACATAATTAGTTTCTCCTCTGCCAATGTAGATATGGGCCAGTGTTCAAAACAAGCTTAGTCGGCCGACCCCTTGTAATATCAACCGACCCAGAGCTGAACCATTTTGTATTCCAGCAAGAGGGAAGGCTGTTTCAGAGCTGGTATCCTGACACATTTAAAGAGATATTTGGAAAAGAGAACGTTGGAGAATTGCATGGCTACATGTACAAATATCTCAAGACTTTGGTTCTTAGGTTGTTTGGCCCTGAAAACCTTAAAGAGTTTATGCTTCAAGACATGGAGAAGCTGGCTCGTGACAGACTCAACTTCTGGTCTCGCCAATCATGTATTGAGATCAAAGATCTCATCTCAGCTGTGAGCAATTTTCAACTTTTAATATGTAACGTGCTCTTGTGTGTATTTTTGTTTCTAATAACATTTTTTGTCTTGCAAATGCAGATGATCTTTGAACTCACAGCTAAGAAGTTGATTGGGTATGGGGCTTCTAATGGATTGGAGGATATGAGGAGCAATTTTGTTGCTTTCATACTTGGACTAATCTCCTTTCCAGTGAACGTTCCGGGAACTGCATATCATAAATGTTTGCAGGAATGTTATACAGTACCATGATTTGCTTTTCGTATATATTTAAGTTGATATTCGAAGCATAAATTATATGCAAATATATTATATATCACATTAGAAATTCATGGGAACAAAAATATTTTTATGTAAGGATAAACATAATCGAGGTAGATATCACTACAAGCAAGAACAAGTTTGGTTTGATAAAATAAATAAATGTTATCTTTTGATAAAATCATTTATAAAGGTGATATAGTAAAATAACTTGCCTAAAGATGAGATAGGGTGTGGCTCCCAAATATATAAGTTTAACTAATTCTAGCATCTAGACTTAAGGTTTTCTTAAATTTTGTAAGAAAACAGTTCTTAAAATATATTTTTTACAAAAACTATATTCAATAAAGTTTAAATATATATAAAGACATGAATTTTATCATTAAAGTTGATGTCCACAAAGCTTAATTGATTTGTGATTGAATTGAACTAGTTAATATGCTTTGCAAAATATCATAAAACTTAAAAATTTGCACGTAAGTTATGTCCTATTTTAAACAAAAGGCTTCTCTTTATACCAAATAATATATTTATTATGCATGATGTGGTATTTCATTGAGGACATTGAAGGCAACATACTTAATCAAGGATGGGTTCTTAGTGCTTGTCTATTATTTAGCTCTCACTCTAAATTAATAGTGAAAAGCTTTGATCCCTTCAAAGTTCAATAAAGCTTTCTTTGATAAAAATAGTCTTCTATTTACATCTTCCTAGAACTAAATTTTCAAATATTAAATACAACAATCTTATGCTCTTCTTTCTCTCTTTCTTCTGACTTTTTACTTTTGTTCGTACAATGCACCAACATATTGGTGCCATTTTTTTTATATAGTGCTTGGAGGTGGTAGGCAGCAAACTTAAATTTATTAGGTAGTTGACTATAGACATATAATGTTCATGTAAGGTAAAGGATGATATGCAATGATTTTATAGGTGTTACATAGGGGGTGGTAGACAAATGTTTATATGAGCTAATTAAAAATAATTTATTTTCTTATTCTAACGGCTACTTTTATTTCAGGGACGTAAGAAAATAATGAAGATATTGAAGAGAATTCTTGCAGAGAGAATGAAATCACCGAATAAGGACTGCAACGATTTCTTTGACTGCATAATTGAAGAGCTCCATAAGGAAAGACCAATTTTAACAGAGGCGATAGCTCTAGATTTGATTTTTGTACTTCTTTTTGCCAGCTTTGAGACCACCTCCCTAGCTCTTACCCTTGTTGTCAAACTCCTTACCGATCATCCTAAAGTGCTTCAAAATTTAAAGGTATCATATCTTACTAAAGTCTTAAACACACACGCCGCTTGCTCAGGTCAGTTGGTCGGGTATCTGCTTGTCAGTTGTAAGTCGCCTCTGGTCTGTGGTTCGATTTCCCAATGTGAAGGGTGTAGTACTCGAATTATTAGGTGCATTGGGGATTGCCAAGGCTCGTATATATATATATAGGCATACGTGTGCACGTATCCACACCCATATACATGTATACATACAAACATAAATATGTAATGATCTTAAGCATTTTGTAAATGGCAGGAAGAGCATGATGAAATTATTAAGAACAGAGAGAACCCGGATTCTGGAATCACATGGCGAGAATATAAATCTATGAGCTTCACATTTCAAGTAAGAAAACATTATGTTCACATGCAACACCACAATTTCTTATGACTTGTGCATAAATTAAGAACATTTATTGATGTTTTCAATTATCCTAAGAGAGATACACAGTATGCAAGATACATAAAGAAAAAATTGCATGAAGCCATAATGTCCTCCGGACATTCAAATAATATTTGTCATTGAAAGTAAATCGTTATTTAATAAATACAGATGAAGTCTTTCTTATCAATTTTGAAGCAACTAATCAACTCTTAAATAATAGTTAATTGCGCTAATCCCCAGCTATTAATTATACTTATCTTTAAAAAAATTAATTATGCTGGATGATTTGCAGAGAATTTGTATTTCTTTTCTGCTGAACAAGTGGAAGATTTCAAATTCTGTTATTTTATCTCTCTGGCAAATTTTGCAGGTCATCAACGAAGGCGTGAGGTTGGCAAACATAGTTCCTGGGATTTTCAGAAAGACATTGAAAGACATTCAAATAAAAGGTTTTTTTTTTTATTTATTTATTTTTTATTTTTGATAAAAAGAGCAACTTGTGGCTTCTTGCGCGTTAATTAAAGTAAAAGTTACAGAATTTGATGTTGAGATAGAGGATCCCCAACTACCTATAGGGTTCCTGTCTCCGCATTACAACTCTACCCAAAAAAAGCCAAAATACATGAAGCAATTGTAAAACATGTGTACCTGCAAAGGAGTATACCCAAAAACAGTCATTAAGAGACCCAAAAGCAAATAATAAAGCAAAGTAGCACAGTGTCTAATCATTCCAGCAAACCCCTTTATTGTTTACTTTGACTTTCACTGTTAAACCAAACATATATATATATATACTTTT